AAGTTTTTATAATTATGAGATAAACCCAAATAATACAATTGTTAAGATTACAAACACCCAAACTCTTTGACAGAGTGCTTCTATTTTTAGAAAACAATTTTATGTATGTTTGAGAACATATATGCATAACTTAGAAAATACCTCTGGGAGGATAAAATAAATCAAATATATTGGTTGCCTGTGGAAAAGAAGACTGAGTATCCGAAGAGATAGGGATGAGAAGGAAATTTTTACTATACATCCTTTTATACTTAAAAAATTTTTTTTGACCCATGTAAATATATTATATTACCTATTCAAAAAAAAACTAGAAAATGTAGGCAATAAAAAGAAGTATAAACCTCCTATAATTCTACCTGTAATAAGACTTTTGTATAGGGGCATCTGGGTGGCTCAAGTCGATTATGTTTCTGCCTTTGGATTAGGTCATGATCCCAGGGTCTTCGGCTTGAGCCCAGAGTTGCAGTCCCTGCTCAATGGGGAACATGCTTCTCCCCTCTTCCCCAGCTTGTGCTCTCTGTCGCTATCTCTGTCTATCTCTCTCAAATAAATAAATAAAATCTTAAAAAAAAGACTTTGGTGTATTTCCTTCCAGCTTTCTTTCTATAGAGGCTTATGTGTGACAGAATTGTAAATTCTTTTACAAAGTTTGGGTCAACCTGTATAAAGTTTTAGAAACTACATTTCTCACTTTTTTCTTTTTTAGATTTTTTATTATTATTATTCATGAGAGACAAAGAGAGAGAGAGAGAGAGGCAGAGACACAGGCAGAGGGAGAAGCAGGCTCCATGCAGGGAGCCCGATGTGGGACTCGATCCTGGGACCCCAGGATCACGCCCTGGGCCAAAGGCAGGCGCTAAACCACTGAGCCACCCAGGTGTCCCTACATTTCTCACTTAATATTACTTAAACATTTTCAATGTCACAAATTCTCCCTAAAATCATTAAATATTGATAATACTCCCTCAAAAGGGTGTATCATAATTTATTTAGGCATTATATAATTCTAAAACATTTCTTTTTTTTCATTATTGCAAATACTTCTGAGATATTTCCTTATACATTATTTTACTAGGCTCAGAAAAATTATTTATCCATGTTTAGTCAATAAATTAACTGAAAATAGACATTAATTTCTTTTTTTAATAAATTAATTTTTTATTGGTGTTCAATTTACCAACATACAGAATAACACCCAGTGCTCATCCCGTCAAGTGTCCCCCTCAGTGAAGACATTAATTTCTGAGTGAATTCTAGTCAAAATACTAGACTGCACTAATAACTAATATTCTAAAAGTCACTGACCACTTCATTACAGATGTACTATTTTAATAAAATGTAACTTTGAAATACTGGAAAAATGAGATAGTAGCAAATACTAACAAAAGAAGAGGTAAGTAGAAATTAGATGGGTGAGTTAAAAGGAAAACTTTCGGGCAAAATCATATCGAAATTTTCTAATATTTTTCACCGTTTTGTTCAAAGTACAATAAAACTTTCTGGGACAGTTAGGGTTTCAATTTTATATGTTTCAAGGTTTTGATAGCTGTCACACTAAGGCTTTGATTCATTAAAATATCTAATTGTCTAAAAATGGTACTTGGCACCACTGTGCTTTATCATTGGAGTTGCCACTATTTTGATATACATCCTGACCAAAATGTTGCTTTCCTTTCTTTTCTTTTTAAAAGATTTATTTATTTGAGAGAGAGAGAGAGAGAGAGAGAGAGAGAGAGAGAGAATGGGAGCAGGAGCGAGGAGGGCAATAGAGGAAAAGAGAAAAATCTCAAGGAGACTCCCCGATGAGTGTGTAGCCCAAGGCAGGGCTCTGTCTCAGGGCTCTGAGATCACAACCTGAGCAGAAATTACAGGTTAGAGGCATAAAAGATTGAACAACCCAGGAGAGCTCAAAATGTTGCTTTCTTTAGTCAACTTAATGTGGTTAAGTCCTTGTCTCCTTTGCTTTCTTTTCCTCCTTTCCCCAAATATATCCTTTGTAACAAGTATTTTCTATCTAGGCAATTTACATGAAGACCCCACTGGTCTGTCTCGGGGGACAGAATTAACACTCATCTTCCAGGGTAATTATGTTGAATTAGCTTTTTTTTTTTTACTATATGCAATCATAATGTTCAGAAGACATGTGACCTGAACGTATACAAAAATCCATGTAACGATGAACTAATGTGGTTCTGCTGAAATGTACTGAATAGGATTAATTTGAGATATATCCCTTTGAGTTATAGAACAGTTACCTTTAGCAGAGATGAAACAACACAAGAGTTGATAAAGAGTTCCCAGGGTACATAGAGGAAAAATGAATCATGCCTCTTAGAAAAATTACAAGCCAACAAAAATCTTATTAGTCAGCAACTTGAATTTTCACAAAATTTCACTAACAGCAACACCTACCAAGCCACAAAAAGGACTGGATGTATTTTTGGACTGGTTTCCAGATGGAAGGCTAGAGCCAAATCCAGACTCTCAGAGTGCTTTTTCAGACACAGCTAACATACCTGGCATCCTGGTTCTTTTTAGCCTTGCCTTTCCTAATCCCAAAGGTTCATCATATCCTTTCTCCCATTTCAGTAAAAAAGATTTTACTAGCTGCAACACTTAAGGATTATTTAGCTGTGTGAAACGGTATGTTTTGCCTCTTAGGGATCTCTACTAGGACTTGTGTCCCTCATTCTAATTAAAGTTGGGAACTTCTGAATGAAAAACTGCCAAACTGAACTGCATACAAGCAAAAAAAAAAAGATGAAGAAAAAAAAAAAAAACAATGGCCTGGCAATTCAGCTCCAGCAATGCTTAGACTTTGACCATACTGCCATACCAGTGAGATGAACACTAGTTTTTATTTAACTACGAGGTCTAAAAAAATGATGTGCGTGGCACCACAGAGAAGCATTTTAAATGAATCACAGGGGAAGAAAAAGATTGGTCAGCCAAGATAGGGTAAGCCATCTAAAGCCTATTCCTCCCATTCATTACATAAAAACTCAAATAGAATATTTTTTGAAAGCTACCTGAGGAATCTGAAAGTAAATAATAATGAGTAGATTGAGGACTGAAGTCAATATCTGAATACCTTGCGAAAGGTGAATTTCAGAGGTTGTTTTTGTTCTGTTTTGGTGGTCCTTTATTTGTCACCAGCTTTGATTCCATGTCTAATCCTCAGAATGCATAGTGGGCTCAGACAATAAAAACTCCAGAAGAAATCCCCTATCTCTATGGATAAGACTCCTTTTTTAAAGGATCCCTGAATGCCAGAAAGTGCAGGGGGAAATCTCTGGGTTTTATTTGCTTTCTCTCTTTAGCCTCAGAGCTATACTGCTTACCAACCATGGCAATTTGGGCACTTAAAACCCAAGAGAAAATCTGCCTCTCTTGCTAGAGGAATCACATGTCTAAGAACATAGCATCTTTTATTTTCTTCTCTCTCTTAACACTTTCCCCTGAAGGTGACCAAAGGACTGCTCTGAAGAAGGCTAACACTCAGAGAAATCTTTCTGGTGATATGAACCAGCATGTGGGCATAGGGAAGAAAGGATGCATAAGAATCCTTCAGAAAGAAAAAAAAAAGGCAGAAATGGGGAATCACCTAATTCCATATGTGATTCAACATAAGTTCCAGGCTCAACCCTGAGCAGTCCACACGCAAAGCACCTTCAAAGAAGCACAACAAAAACACAGAGAACTGAACTATGATACTAACTACTGCTCAAGTTCCAGATTAACCCCTGAGTGGTACATGAATCAGACTCAAAAAAGCATAGTAAAGGCTCTGAAATTGGACTGATGATGTAACCACAACTCATAGGAGGCAAAACAGAACGTACAGTCAGAACCTACTAAGGCTGACAAAACAAAAATCAACCCGGTAGAGGACTTTAACAGGACCAAGAATCCATAACAGATTCAAAATACATAGGATATAATCCATAATTACTCACCACGTGAAAGAACAGGAAAATCCAATTCTTGGGAGAAAATATAATTAATAGATGTGAACTACACCCCCATGACCAAGATGTTGGAACAAGACAAAGACTTTAAAGCAGTTATTAAAATCATTATCTATGAGATAAAGGTAAACAGTAATCAAATAGATGAAAACACTGAAGTTCTCAGTAGAGAAAAACTATCAACAAGAATCAATGGAAATTTTAGAAGAGAAAATTATATTATCTGAAGTTAAAAATTCACTGGATGGGCTCAACAACAGAATGGAGATGATAAAGGAGAGTAAGTAACTCTTAGGATAGAACAATAGAAATTACACAGTCTGAAGAACTGAGAGAAAAAAATTAATAAGGCTACAGGGATATGGGAACAGGACGCCTGGGTGTAGCTGAGCAGTTGAGCATGTCTTTGGCTCCGGGCGTGATCCTGGGCATCCAGGATGGAGTCCCACATCAGGCTCCCCCGAGGAGCCTGCTTCTCCCTCTGCCTGTGCTGTGCCTCTGCCTCTCTCTGTGTGTCTCTCATGAATAAATAAATAAAGAAAGAAAGAAAGAAAGAAAGAAAGAAAGAAAGAAAGAAAGAAAGAAAGAAAGAAAGAAGAAAGAAATTAATTCCAGAAGAAGAGGAGAAAGAGATTGGTATAAAAAAAATTTAAAGGAACCATGACAGAAAACTTCTGACGTTTGGTAAAAGGCATAAATTTATATATTCAATAAGCTCAGTGAACCCCAAACAGGAAAAGCACACACAAAAATCATGCCCAGACACAGTGCTGAGAAACAAAGATGGGGAGAGGGGGACTGAAATAAGATTTAAAAAGAAAAAAATACATCATACATATAAGAGTAGTGATTTAAATGGGTTGAGGACTTGACTACAAAGGGGGCAGCACAAGGAAGTTTTTTTTTTGTTTTGGGTTGTTTTTTTTTTTTTTTTTTTTGGAGTGATGGAACTATTCTGGATCTTGACTGTGGTGGTTTTACAAGACAACGTATTAGTGACAATGCTCCCTGTATACCAAGAGCAACTCTTACTTTGGGTATACATCAATGTCCCCAAAACCTGGGTATCATCCTTTACTTGCAGCTCTTCCCTCATCCTGCATATTGGATTCACCACCATCTCCTGCCACGTTACTTTCTCAAGATTTCTCAGATTTGCCTTTTCCCCTCCATTGCCACTGTTTCTTCCGGTCAAGTTCTCCTCACCCAAGTCTGTTACTACTTGAGGGCCACAGCTAACCTCTACAGCCTCGCTCTGTCAAAGGGGATCTCTGCTCTTTAATAATTCCAACTGTAACCTGGAAGCTTGCTAGAAACGCAGGATTCCAGACCCTACCCTCGAACTCCTCAATTAGATTCTTGATTTTAATAGGATTCTGGAATGACTTTATAAGGGCATTAAAATCTGCAAAGCCCTAGTCTAGGGCATGCCTGAATGGACGAAAGTGGGATTATGCGCCTCCTTCGTTAACATTTTACAGGCAGGCCCGGGCTGCACTGACCTCTCCTGACCTCGGCCTACTGTCCTCGCCAGGCCCACCTTCTCTCCAGGAAGAACCAACTCCTGGAACCGCGGCGCACAGGGCCGCACAGGGCCCGCCTCCCGCACCCTCAGCCTCGAGCACCCGCGCCCGCCGCGCCGCTCGCCACCCCTCGCCTCTGCCCAGACGGCGGCCCAGCGAGCCCTGAGGGCTGCCGGCCCCTCAGCCGCTGGCGCGAGCCTCCACCCCGACTCGCGCCTTTTATTGCGATGATCCTTTTTTTTTCTTTTTTTTAATAATAAATTTATTTTTTATTAGTGTTCAATTTGCCAACATACAGAATAACACCCAGTGCTCATCTCGTCAAGTGCCCCCCTCAGTGCCCGTCACCCACTCACCCCCACCCCCCGCCCTCCTCCCCTTCCACCACCCCTAGTTCGTTTCCCAGAGTTAGGAGTCTTCATATTCGGGATCCCTGGGTGGCGCAGCGGTTTGGCGCCTGCCTTTGGCCCAGGGCGCGATCCTGGAGACCCGGGATCGAATCCCACGTCGGGCTCCCGGTGCATGGAGCCTGCTTCTCCCTCTGCCTGTGTCTCTGCCTCTCTCTCCCTCTCTCTCTCTGTGTGACTATCATAAATAAATAAAAATTTTAAAAAAAAGGAGTCTTCATGTTCTGTCTCCCTTTTGATATTTCCCACACATTTCTTCTCCCTTCCCTTATATTCCCTTTCACTATTATTTATATTCCCCAAATGAATGAGAACATATAATGTTTGTGCTTAGGGCCTCGGCCAGCCCGCAGGGCAGGGGAAGCGGCCTCCTCCGGCCGCGGAGAACTAGAATCATCGCCAAGGCTCTGAGGCGCTGACCTGCCGGCCATCTTTTTTTTTTATTATTATTCTGATAAAACTCTCCGTTTCCAGTTTGGAAGTAACGGTTCCCCCGTCAAGCATTTTCCTGAAATTATGTTAACAGTCGCCTAAACCAGAGCTTCCAGTTCCTTAAAGCAAAACGCATTTCAGAAATTTGGACCCCACACGTTTTTCCCGGGCAAAAGGACTTCGCCTCAGGATGAGGGGAAAGGCGGGGGTTTCTGTTTCTATTTCAGATGCCAGAAACCACTTGCCGTAAGGCTCATTTAGTCCTAAGCGGGACAGTGGGCCTGCCGTGGCTCGTTTGTCGGCAAGCTCTGGGTTGGGCCCCGCCGGACGGAAATATATTTAAAGTATTTATGGATTTGTAGCAAATATAGGCTATTTAAAGGTTAAATAATCTGTACTTGTCATTTTTGTTCATGCCATCACCTTAGAGCAGTAGCTTGCTTGTGCATAAAAATGTCTTCCTATCACTTCATGCATTTTGGCTTTTAAATTTTTGGTTTATAAATTGAGAAGGAATTAATTTTAAGTTTCTGTCATTGAATACATCACCATAAAAAATTAGAATCCTGCATATATAGATAATTAAATAATAAAATGATCTTTATGCTTTATAAAACCATAAATCAGACTTGAATGAGGAACACCTTCCACATCCTTGAAAGAAAAAGCATTAGCTTAAAAAAAAAGAAAAGAAAAAAAAAGCATTAGATTGAGTTTTAAAGTGTTTTGAGAATGAAGTATTAAGATCCTATTTCTGTGTGTGGTTAATATCAGAAAGGGAGACAGAACATGAAGACTCCTAAGTCTGGGAAACGAACTGGGGGTGGTGGAAGGGGAGGAGGGCGGGGGGTGGGGGTGAGTGGGTGACGGGCACTGAGGGGGACACTTGACGGGATGAGCACTGGGTGTTATTCTGTATGTTGGTAAATTGAACACCAATAAAAAATAAATTTATTATTAAAAAAAGATCCTATTTCTGTAGTAAAGTCAGACTTAATAAATATGTCAGAACTATAAGCTAATTCATAAATTCTAGATATACCGCTACATAAGGAAACTAAGTGCTGAATGGAGCATTTTCCTTTTTTAAGATTAGAATCCTCAATTCTGAAGTTACGGACAAAGGCCTGAACTTTGTATAGTGACTCCTGCTCTGTCTGCATGTTTAGTTGAAATTTTCACTTGTGGTTTGTGTTTACCTCTTCTTCTATAACAAGACTCTAAAAAGCATGAAAATAAAAATATTCTCCCCTTAAAAAAAAACAAAAAATGCGGGACGGCGGTCACCTTCTCCAGGGCAGCTCCTCCTCCTCCGGGTCGCTCTCCGTCACCGACCCGTCTATCACCGTCTCGTCGCTGTCATAGTCTGCGGCCTGGCCGCCGGCCTCCATCTTCGCCGCGCACGCGCACGCGGAGCCTCGTCCACGCTCCTCCGACTCGCCGCTTCTCGCGGAAAGAGAGGGCCCCGGAGGTCGTGAGTCAAAACGCGGGAGGCGGCGGGCGGGCCTGGTCCCAGAGGGCCGAGCGCGCACGCGGCTGCGGCCGTCGCCGTGGAGGACGCGGCCCCCCTGGGCCCCCCTGCGGCCCCCCCGCCTCCCCGCGCCCGCAGGACGCCGCGCGCACCCCGCGCCAGGGCCGGAGTGGCTGGCGGAGCGCCCGCCCGCCGGCTCCCCGGGCCCCGCCCCGCCCCCCAGCCGCTTCCCGCAGGCGGGCGCCGGCTGTGAAGGGAGGAGGCCGGAGCTGCGCGCTGCTGCGGGGCGCGGCGCGGCGCGGGCGAGACCCAGGCCGGAGGGCCCCGCAGCCCCCGGCGCCACGCGGGCCTCCGGAAGCCGCGGGGCCTCCTTTCCGCGGGCCACCGAAGTCCGCCTGGCGGCCCTGCCCGAGCTGCGCAAGACCGACGTGTTTGTCCTAAGTTCACAGGTCATCCACCACCCTAACCGATGTCTTTTCCCCGTTAACTCTTTTTTTTTTCTTTATGATAGTCACAGAGAGAGAGAGAGAGAGAGAGAGAGGCAGAGACACAGGCAGAGGGAGAAGCAGGCTCCATGCACCGGGAGCCCGACGTGGGATTCGATCCCGGGTCTCCAGGATCGCGCCCTGGGCCAAAGGCAGGCGCCAAACCGCTGCGCCACCCAAGGATCCCCAACTCTTCTTTTTTTTTTTTTTTTTAAGATTTTACTCATAAGAGACAGAGTGAGCGGCAGAGACCCAGGCAGAGGGAGAAGCAGGCGCCACGCGGGGAGCCCCACGCGGGACTCGATCCGGGGACCCGGGATCACCGCCGGGCCCCCAGGGATTCCCCCCTCATGAACTCTTTAATTGCCTTGAAATGCAAGTTGTGTAAAAAAAAAAAAAAGCTGAATAAATGCTTTACTTTTTTTTCCTTTGTACATTTTTAGAATGATAGTGCCTTAGCAACTTGCAAAAATAGCCAGTTACGACTTTCGACTGGAATACTAGGTTTATATACTTGGTGTGTTTCAGTGTATTTGAAAGTCATTAATCCAAACATTCAAAACCAAGTGAGCTCCGCTTGGCAAGACCGATTCAGGATAAGAGAGAACCCCTTCTCCACATCGAGTGTGTTGACTTTGAAATCTCCAGTGCCGCCCGCACCCCAGGCCTTTAAAGGTTTGCAGAATAAATGGATAGAACTAGGGTTTTCTGAGTCCCGGATTCACTGCTCTTTTCTCTACATGCAATGGCTTTCCCATTATTATCTTACTATTTAGATCATATTTAAACTACTGCTGTTTAAAACACTTGATTGGTGATTGTCTTTTAAATGTATTTGATTATTCCCCGTTTCCACCCTTGTACATTAGGTAGGACAGTAATAAATATACAGGGAACTAGACCTCTGTGTTTTTCACACCTCTCCACCTACATCCTCCAGGTTTAAATCAGCCCTAACTTCCATCCACTCTCCTGCTGACCTACTCCTTGAGTCATCTAGCTCTCTTTCCAGTTTTTAAAAAGTGTTAAGTAATTGCCAGCAATGGAAAGTGCATATCCATTAAAAGGCTGGTGGGTGGCTCTAAATGCCCTACACCAGAAGGCATAGATACGCCTAAACTAAATAAAAGCTCTTGCTCCAGGCGTCTGGTAACTTTAAGGATAGAAAACTTCTAAGCCTGAGATTCAAATTTCTTTTTAAAATACTTTCTCCTTTGGTGGTAAAGAGTCAGTTATTTTTGCATCTTCAGTTCTTTTATTTTATTCAGGACAGTTGCCAAGATTCAAAGCATAAAGAAGAAATAGCAGAGATTATCCACATAAATGCTAACATGATTTTAAAGGGAACTTTGTTTTTTTTGAAAATCCAAAGTTTCACTGCAAGACAGAGATAGAAAAATAATTGATCTGTGTGAGAAACTAGCTTGCAAGTGACAAGAAAAAATATAATTCAGACTGATGTAAACATAAAAAGGCTAAGTTGAGTCACATAACTGAACCTCCATAAGTACCCAGGCTTTTCAGGTATGATATGATTCAAACAATGTTGAAAAGAAATCTAGCTTAGCTTTTTTTTTAATTAATTAGTTTAAGTTAAACACTCAAATAAATTGAAACACATTGAATGTATAAAAATCCAGAACTTCATTTTTTTAAGAGTTTTGTTTATTCATTTTACAGAGAGAGCGCATAAGCAGGGGGAGTAGCAAGCAGACGGAAAGGGAGATGCACACTCCCCACTAAGCAGGGAGCCCAATGTAGGGCTTGATTCAAGGACCCTGGGATCATGACCTGAGCCCAAG